TACTCGTGATTTATGTCAGCTTTTCCATCATTTTCGTAGAATTCCTAGCATTGCATTGGGTAGCCACGCCACTGTTTACATTGTTGCTTTCATGTCGGGGACCGAGAGGTCGAAACGAACCCGAAAAATCCGAGTTCAAACCCAAGGCAACCTTGGGGCTTGGTTCGGATCTGTAGGACGTCCCTGAGTCAACTCAGCGCTAATACGTACCTTGACCTGTTTGGGGAGTCTTGTAATGGATGGCTGAGATATGTATCGCAGATATTGATAGAAAGTAACTGAAAACTATACATTTATGCACTCTGGTATAAAGTACACACAAAGTACTCTGGTATAAAGAGCTACAGAGTACTCTGGTATAAAGTGCACAAAAGTACTATGGTATAAAGTGCATACAAAGTACTCTGGTATAAAGTGCATACAAAGTACTCTGGTATAAAGAACTACAGAGCGATGGTGAGAGATGATTAGGTACCACATAGAACGGAGTCAAGAGCTGTAGATAAAGCCAATATTTTTTATCTATCAAATGTAAATAGTAGAACTGTAGTCGAATATACATACTTGCATTCCATTATAAAAATCGAATGGACCATTTAGCTAGTAGATCTATTTCTTAACAACGTTTTTTACCTGACGATTTTACCTGTACATATTTTAGTCTGTTTTCTTTGATACATTTGTACTGTCCATAGTCTAACCGACTGGACTCTGAATTGATGTTTATTACACGTTCTCAGTCACTGATTTCTTGTTCTTATCATATTGTAGAAAACTGAAATTACAATTTTTAAATTAAAATATTTTAAAACCTACATCGATGCAAGTTGTGTGCATACATTGTTTTTGTTTTATTTTAACACTGTATTGATACTAGAATATAGGTATCACATCAATGTGTATCGATTTTCAACCAATTGACATGTTGAAAGCGCAGCAAGGCACATAGAAATGAACAGACTACGATCAATCAATATGTGGTATATAAAAAATAGCACATATGTATAATATGTTGTGTTAATTACGAATTTCCATTGATATATGTTATCCACGACAGCAGTCTCGTATGGCATAGACTACTGGTCATCTGGACAGCCGTGACCTTGTCAGTTCAAGGCCGTATCACTATAATTTTGAGTAGTGCTTTTAACGACCACGAAATGTTTGCCAGTTCAGTGTGAAATGTTTTTGGCGCCAGACGCGACATGAGACCTAAATTTTGATAGAATTTTTTAGATTCCTCGCAAGAACATAACATTTCTTTGTCTGCATTATTGAGAGTCGTGTAGGATATTGGTTAGCTGCTATCTACAACACAACATGGAATGTTGTCGTTACTTCCTGTCTGATGATGCCACCTAAAGTTGCTCCAAGCTCACAGACTGTCAGAACCATCTAGAACTGCCCAGAACTACCTGGAGCAAATCTCTAGGACTACACTGCTCTATTGTTTCTCTTCCCTATCTCCTACGTTGGGCCTGACATGTTTCTTGTAACGAAGTTTAAACCCTAGTTAACATGTTTGTTATTTCTTTTTTTTAGTTTATGCAAGCGAATTCAATAAAATCCGAAAATTCAACTTCAAGAGTTGGTTTGCATGTAATATATAATAATTCCCATATTTTACTTACTGATTAAAATATCGTAGACATGTTCCTGGAACGTTAAAGAAATCTTACAATATTTATTTTTTTCTAAATAAACAAAATGTACCAGGCCCCGTGGAGCAGTCTATAGGCAGGCTGTCTAGACCCTGCATTGTGGGACAGCCTGTCTAAAGCTTGCATTATGGGACAGCCTGTCTGGAGGCTGCAAGTCAGCCTCACGAACTTACGTCCCTAAAGCGACCAACATTTCCTTAAAATCTTCAACCGATGGTTGCATCAAGAGGTCGAAATCAAACACAAACAATTTTTTATTTTATTTTGTGCTACTAATTCATTTATTATTCTACACTTTACAAATTGTAGGTACGAAAAATATAAAAACACCGAACGTAATTTTGAAGAAGCAGACGTTGAGAGAAATCTAAAAAAGCAGGAGATCGCCTAACTAGCTGATCAAAGAACGACAGCCGCAAACAGAGTCATGTGTTGGGCTGGTTCATACAAGGGTAAATTACGGGGACACACATAGTATATGATGGTTGATGGTGGTTGATGATGTTTGGTGTGTTGTGGTGGTGTGTTACTAGCTAATGGTGGTTGATGGTGTTTGGTGTGTTACTAGCTAATTGTGAATGATGGTGTTTGGTGTGTTATATGGTGTGTTACTGTATGATAGAGTGGTTCGTGCTATAGTTCTGACAATGAACGTGTTAAAATTTGGCACACAGATGTGTTGATGTGTGGTAAGATTGTGTTCATGTGTGTAAAATGTGTGAGTAGTGTGTTAGATGGATGTGCAGTGTGCGTTAGATAGGTGTGTTAACGTGTGTGATATGTATGTGTAACAGGATGGTATTTGTGCGTGCTACACTATGATTGATGCGTGTATTAATGTTTGTTTTTATGTGTGATCAACGTGTTATAACGTGGTAATTGTGTGTGTGATGCAGTTTGACAAATCCAGAGAAAAAAAAGTTTGAACAATCCTAGTTGAGGTTCTAGCCTCAGCGGACCTGCAAGAAGTAAATCACAGACGTTAAATTATAAATACAAATTCCAACCTTTCACAACACTGGAGGCTATGTAGATAAAAGATGCAGTGAGTGGATCAACTATCTACTTGTGCTAATGAGGTATTTAATTAACAAATTAATGCTACTATCTACATAACATTCATAATCAGTAGAGCGACAGTGATATTCGATTTCTTAATATGTTGTATAAAAACATAATTAGGCATTGTAATTGTCTTTTGAAAAAAAATGACAATTAAAAATTTAACTTGCGATCTTTTAAAAACAATTTGAATCAGTTGACATAGTGGGAGTATGCGACTGTGTGGGATTTCTTGTTGGGGACTAGCTTTGAGAAACGTCGGCCACACTAATCGTGTATATGTCCTTAATACTGAACAGTGATGACTTGCAATAATTCCGAATTTTGTAATTAATTTTTCTTTTCCTTTCTAGAATCTTAAAATTTTTCCTGAGCTACGTGGGTATCCAACGTGTGGTAACGGTTAATTACCTAAATAACTTTGTACAATTAATTTAAAGCTATTCATGGATCCTAATTATTATACATTTAATATATCTTATAATGAAACTTCACCTGTAAAACAAAACAAAAAATCCTAAAACCAATGTTAAATTTAAAACGAACGGTTTCATCATTTGTGTTAAGTAACTTTAACTATATTTTTACTGACAACACAACTACAAGCAGCGATATATTTACTTGCTACATCAGGAGATAATTAGTTAGCCCTATATCATAACGTTTTTAAATTAAAAGAAACAGTCTTTTACTATATTAAGCAAATTTTAGGCATGGTATAAATAGTATGTACGATCTATTAACATTATCTATGTATATGTGCCTAATTTTCAAAACAAAATCTAGATCTATAACTACATGACCGTTTCTGTACTCTCGTTCAAAAAGTTTCATAAACATATATGACATTCAAATATTAGGCAGTCTCTGATACATGCCATTCAAATAGTAGGCAATACTTGCTACATGGCATTCAGAAATTAGGCAACACTTTCTATATGGCATTTAAATATTAGGAAATACTTGCAGTAAAAAAGCATACACTGTGTTAAGTAACATTCAAAGAATATGACAACTAATTAAAAACTAATTAAAATCTAGTTAGAATACTAGGCGCGAGGTAGCTAAACAATTCGATCATTTAATTAGCTATTTAATGCAATAATTAATCACTCGATGACATTTCACTGTTTTTAGCTTGCTTGCAAGAGGGCCCCACCCCGTGTCGTGGGAGAGTGCCCCACCCCAATGTCGTGGTAGAGGACCCCACCCTAGGAGTCCAAAATGACATCCATCAAGAACTACACAAATAACAAACGTGAACATAAACAAAACATGCAATCAAACCAGTTTCAACTAGTTTTATAACTTTAAAAAATCGTACTGCATAAAAGGAAAACGACCCCCCCCACCCCCCACACACAAAATGTCTATCAGTCATTATGATTTAAATCACGAATAGAACCAAGATCACCCATATCACCGCCTGTGACCTTAGCTGGGTACTTTCAAACTCAAGGGTGTACACATCAATGTTAGGTAAAAAATCTACCATTACATCACATTAGATCACAACCAAGGACATATAAACAGCTAAAACATATTGTGCATTCTTAGCGTAGTCAAGGTTCGCTAGCGTCACATGCTAGCAACAGCGGAGTTAACACAAGTAGGTCTCTAGGTCAGATGTTGTCCAGCATGAAGGTCAATAAGTTGTCAGTCAGAAAAAGGTCAAGGTCTGAAAGTCATGGTCCATAGGTCAGCAGTCAGTCGAACAAATTGTAAGTATATCAGCTATCTATACATCGGCTCGTCTATTGTTAAAGGATCGATGACTAAAGAAGAAAAATGCTCATTGATCGTAGGTCTTGGTGTCTTTAAGAAAATTCGACATTAGGTCAAGTAGTCGTTAGGTCAAATAGGCGTTAGGTCAAGCAGCGTTAGGTCATCTAGACTTTAAGTGGAGAACTAGAAGTTTCTAACCAGAGAAGAAGGAATTGGCTTTGGTGCATTGCATATTATACATAATAAATTCAAATATATATATATATATATATATATATATATATATATATATATATATATATATATATATAATGTAAGTGTAAGGTATTGTATTACAAACATTCACAATCACATAAATCAGCCCAAGTATCGACTACAGCATCTTTTCTGTCAAGAAATGGTTCGTGAATGTGTCTGTTCCCTGTTAGTTCATGAATGTGTCGGTTCCCTGTTAGTTCATGAATGTGGCAGTTCCCTATCTGTGGTTTGTGAATGTGTCTATTCTCTGTAAGTCTTTGTGTCTGCCACAATCCAACAAATCCAGCTCTCTGGAGAGTTCACGTTCCACTCAATATGTATCTGCTCGCCTAGTCCAAGTAGAGGTTGTGGGAATGTGTCGCGACACAGTGTTCCCAGAGGTGTGTCACGACACAGCTGAAGACAGTGTGTCTCGTCATGTTGAAGGGTCACCCACATATGGCCATACGTCACCTACAGAGCCATAAGGCCACATATGACGGCTAGAAACAAGGCCATTTCAGATGGCCAGAATGTTGATGAACCGCTCCAGTAGTAGGAGGCTGAACTCTGGCTGCAGCTAGAGTTATAGCTGGCTAATTCTGGGGAAAAATGTAATACAATGCTAGAGTTATAGCTAGCTAATTCTGGGGAAAAATGTAATACAATGCTAGAGTTATAGGTAGCTAAAAATCATGAAACCAAATGTTCAAGATTATCGGATGGATAATTTATATACTATGACTGAATTACTATGTTCTATATATAAATTATCAGTTGTTCTTCAAAAGTATGATACATATATCAAGAGTTTAACTGGTAGTTTTAGAATGTATTAATTGAATTTAATTCAATCAACCAAATAAATCTCAACACTGAAAATTGTAAAATGTAAAACATGTGTACCTCTGCTGGCCAGCATAGGTAGGTACTGGTCAAAAAAAGCACACTGGTTGGGTCTGACCCCTTGACCCCAGGAGCCTGTATTAGTGAACATGTTCAGGCTGATGTTGAGGTAGAGTTGCTCAGTTGGTTTGAACTTGGGCCACTCTTTGATGTCTAGCTCGCCGGGTTTTCTGTTAGGGTTGCTGAAATGGGATCATCACGTGATATGTACATCTTCAGACCAGGGATACTATATGTTAAGGCCAGTGATATTTTAATTCTAGAACAGGGATATTGTAAGTTTAGACCAGGGATATTGTAAGTTTAGATCAGTGTATGTTTAGACCAGTGTAAGTTTAGACCAGGGATATTGTAAGATTAAGCCTTCGAACGTTTAGATCAGTGATATTGTAAGCACAAAACTATGTCACATGTCCTAACGTAACAAAATGTTAGACGGACTAATTATTTACAATAATGTGACATCAGAAGAACTTATGTATTGTATACTTATCGTTATAGAGCACACTTGAATTACATTATTTTGTTTCTAGATTCGCATTTTACCCAGTTTTGGCGAAGTTGGTCCAAAATGTCATAATTTTCCTGCTGAGTTTTTTCTCGTCCTCTGTGAACTTCTTGTCTTTGTTTAGTGGAACGCCAAAGACAAAGTAGATTTCGTCCCCATGTAGCACCCCCATCCACTCCGGCCACGGGTTGGATGTTATACGGTGGCTGAACCTGGGGAGGACAGGTAGGACATTGGTTGGCTGAATATAGAGAGGACAGGTAGGACATTGGTTGGCTGAATATGGGAGGACATGTAGGACATTGGTTGGGTGAATATAGAGAGGACATGTAGGACATTGGTTGGTTAAAAATTGGGTTTCAGTCAGTCATGTATGTAAATATGTATGTATGAGAAAATTCTTGATGAAAAAAGCGACCGAGGCATTACAAGGTAGATAAAAGCATCAAATGCATTCTAATCACTCCTGGTCTGATTGTCTTTCGTCAAAGTAGATATCATCAGATTTATTTGTTCATATTTACATTACTGACCCCAGCACATGAACGCAAACTTTGACTGACTTACTGACTTGAAAGATATATATATATATATATATATATATATATATATATATATATATATATATATATATATATATATATCAGTATAGTCAGTAAGTCAGCCTACAGAGTGTCACTGATATTATAACCATGTGTTATCGAATGTCCAACATCTGATTCAAGTTTTCATTACACTTTTGTTAATTATAACAAACTACACCCTGGCAGCTCTTAATTAAATCTTTGGCTGTGATGATTTAAAACCATCAGCTAGCGTTTAATTAAATCTATGGCTGTGATGATTTCAAGCAATCAGGGAACCCTTAATTAAAACCGTTGTGGCAGGGCCCAATCACTCACCTGTACGGGTACACGTCCTGACTCACCTGTACAGGTAAACGTCCTGACCAGCTTTGGCCACCGTCTTGGCAATGTCCGCCACCCCACAGGTAAACTGGTAGTCCCCCACCGCCCTCTCCACCTGACCCCTCAGCATCTCCTGGTTACTGGGGTCGATCCAGTCCCTGTACTGGAACTTGATGGTGCTCACAGCGAACGGGTCAAGCTCCTTGGGGTATTGTGGGTAGTACTTGAACAGCTGGTCCATGACGTCACTGTAGTTCTCCACGCTCAGTAAACTGTTGCTGTCCAGCCGGAAGTAGTTAGACTCGGCGTACACCAACAACCACGAGCCCTCGTTGGCGTTGCTCCCCAGCAGTAGCGGGATCTTCTTGAAGGACCCCTCCCTGAGATACTCCTCTGGGGATTTGGTCAGGAAGGTCCCGTCTATGACTGGAATAAACGGAAACTGGGCCACGCCCTTGACGATTTCCGTTTCGTTCTCTGGAAACGCTTTGGCCGGAAGTTGACGCAGACAGTCCAGGATCTCCGCATCCTTAGCCTTGGGATCGCAGCCCATGCGCTCGGCGAGCAGCAGGGAGCGTCGGCGCCCCTCGGCACGGGTGAAGGTCCCCCACGGTGCTTGTGGGGATCCACTTTGTAGGATGGCTCGATGGAAATAGCCCCTGGCTGAGGTGAAAGAAAAGTTAGAGATCAAAAGACTAGCGTGATGAAGTTTGTTTTACTATTGTGAACCTACTTGAACTATGTTGAATTATTATTTACTATGTTAAACTATGCATGAGTAATGTCATAAAAATTAAACACCTTTAAAAAATGACAAAAAGAACTGTGTTTCAAAAGATATTCATTCAATTTTATTTTTAGTTATATTCTTCTAGTTGTTTAATATGTTTTTATTTTTTTTTTAAAAAAACTTTAACAAGCAGAGTTTTAAAAAAATGAAATTTAAAACTCTACAAAAATTATCGCATTTAATATCACCAATAAAAATGTTCCACGTATGTTTTGGTCCTTCAATGACAAAAAAATAATTTAAAATTCAACAATTACAAGCTAGAAGACAGGTGTGCATAAGTGTAATGGTTTCTACTGTCGTCAATAATGTGCTAGTATAGTCCACACACATAGCTGTTGTTTGAATAATAAAGCGACTATGGTGAAATCATAGAGGTGTGTGGTGATGTTTAACATAGATGTGTGTGGTGATGTTTAACACAAAGGTGTGTTGTGATGTTTAACATATAGGTGTGTGGTAATGTGTAACACAGAGGTGTGTGGTTATGTTTAACACAGGGGTGGGGTGATGTTTAACACAGAGGTGTGTGGTGATGTTTAACACAGGGGTGGGGTGATGTTTAACACAGAGGTGTGTGGTGATGTTTAACACACAGCTGTGTGGGTATGTTTACCTAAAGACGACAGCATCATGAGACCAATGCTGACCGCTCCAGAACTTTCTCCAGCCAGCGTGACGCTGTGGACGTCGCCGCCGAAGTGGTGGATGTTGGTGCTGACCCACTCCAACGCCATCCTCAGGTCCATCATGCCAGCATTGCCAGGAGACTCAGGGGAGCCCAGCACAAAGTAGCCCAGAGCTCCAAACCTGGGGGGTAGCAGCCAAGGTGGGGGGGGGGGGGGTCAGATAAACACGGTGTGGGGCGTCATAGTGTAGGGCGTCATAGTGTGGGGCGTCATGGTGTGGGGCGTCAGGAGTGGGTCTTGTCATCGCTGTCGACACACTTGACCCCAACAGACTTGACCCCAACACACTTGACCACAACACATTTGACCCCAACACACTCGACCCTAACACACTTGACCCCAACACACTTGACCCCAACACACTCGACCCCAACACACTCGACCCCAACTCACTTGACCCCAACACACTTGACCCCAACACACTTGACCCCAACACACTTGACCCCAATACACTTGACCCCAACACACTTGACCCCAACACACTTGACCACAACACACTTGACCCCAACACACTTGACCCCAACACACTTGACCCCAACACACTTGACCACAACACACTTGACCCCAATACAACTTAAGCAACCTGTCTTCCTACCATCTCTAAAACACACCCCTTATCACATTTATACCTACCACCCCACATAATTCCCACCCCACCCCCTAATCTAACAAATGGAACTGACCTAAATTGCATAGATACTACGATGACATTGGTCTCCGCCACCAGGTACCGCCCGTCGTAGATGTCCAGGGCGGACGAGCCTGTGAGGAAGGCCCCGCCATAGATCCACACCAGGACCGCCTTCTTCTGTGAGTGTTGGTGACTGTTGTGGGGGGTCCACACGTTCAGGTACAGGCAGTCCTCGCTGATCTAAATACAAGGGGGCGGGGGAATGTTCAGGTAAATGACAGGTGACATCTAGGAAAACATACAGGAATGTCAGGTAATATTTAGGGAAACATTCAGGTGAATGTCACGTGACATCTAAGAAAACATTCAGGTAAATATCAGGTGATATTTAGGGAAATTTATTTCAGCTAGTATTTAAGGAAATATTCAGGTAAATTGACATTGACATTTAGGGAAACATTCAAGTAAATATCAGGTAGTATTTATGGAAACATTCAAGTAAATATCAGTTGACATCAGGTATATTTAAGGTGGTCATATGTTGGGAGAGGGTATCATGGCTATCCCCAAATTCCCGAGTACAGACCCGAAATAGAAATGTGGTCTGACACGCAATAAAATAAAACAAAGGACAGTTTTTTCACATTAACACGCAAAGAACAGCACATTATCTTCAGTCAGAGCAGGCCACAACAGACTGAAACACATGTATAGAAAGCTAAAAGTTGTGTGTGGCTAACTTTGCCCTTGTGGCAAGGCCCCGGCGAATACAGAGCACGTCCTTCTCGACTGTTCCTTGTACAACCAGGCGCGATCTAAACACTGGCCCCTACCCACCCCACTCAGGGAAACACTATATGGGGCACCCGCTGATCTGGAGACCACAGTCCAGTTCATCCAAGAAGTTTGACTTGCTGTTTAAATCCACCAACGTAAATACAATTAAGAACGAAGAAATAGAATACACAGCTAAGCATTGAGCTACAACCTTCTTAAACTAAATGAACAGAAGAATATTTTGCTTTAAACGTTTGAAGCTACAAACTTTCATTCACAATCTACATTTCCATAAAGTAACATTTTTATAGCTTTAATTGAAGAAAACAGTAATTTAAAAATAAGAAGTGTAAAAAAAGTAAAAATCAGTAATCTATTAAGACATTATTACACAGAAAAAAATTTCCAGGAGAAGTAGAATGCAGAATTAAAATCTTCATAACCGAACTCAGTGAGCTTATTTTTAAATTTCGATTTATAAAAAAATCAATTCTCTCTGGGCTTTGTGCGCTATTTGATTGGTTGTTTGAAACTACTGTACTTCCGGTCTAACTCCATCTTTTTGGCAGCACACTCAATCACATCCGGTCGTGTTTTAAAGAGGGAAAAAATACGAGAAATCCCATTGAAAACATGGGGGAAAACATGGAGGAATGCCATTGAAAAGACGAAGGAAAAAACATTGAGAAGTGTCGTTGAAAACATGAGAAAAATTATGGAGGTAGGTAATTAAAAACATTCTAAAATAAACCATGAAGGAATGTCATTGAAAATATTCGACAAAAAAACCATGGAGGAATGTCATTGAAAACATTAGAAAAAAAAACATGGAGGAATGTCATTGAAAACATTAGACAAAACCATGGAGGAATGTCATTGAAAACATTAGACAAAAACCATTGAGGAACGTCATTGAAAACATTAGACAAAAACCATGGAGGAATGTCATTGAAAACATTAGACAAAAACCATTGAGGAATGTCATTGAAAACATTAGACAAAAAACCATGGAGGAATGTCATTGAAAACATTAGACAAAAAACCATAGAGGAATGTCATTGAAAACATTAGACAAAAACCATTAAGGAATGTCATTGAAAACATTAGACAAAAACCATGGAGGAATGTCATTGAAAACATTAGACAAAAAACCATGGAGGAATGTCATTGAAAACATTAGACAAAAACCATTGAGGAATGTCATTGAAAACATTAAACAAAAACTATTGAGGAATGTCATTGAAAACTTTAGACAAAAACCATGGAGGAATGTCATTGAAAACATTAGACAAAAAACCATGGAGGAATGTCATTGAAAACATTAGACAAAAACCATTGAGGAATGTCATTGAAAACATTAGACAAAAACCATGGAGGAATGTCATTGAAAACATTAGACAAAAACCATTGAGGAATGTCATTGAAAACATTAGACAAAAACCATGGAGGAATGTCATTGAAAACATTAGACAAAAACCATGGAGGAATGTCATTGAAAACATTAGACAAAAACCATTGAGGAATGTCATTGAAAACATTAGACAAAAACCATGGAGGAATGTCATTGAAAATATTAGACAAAAACCATTGAGGAATGTCATTGAAAACATTAGACAAAAAACCATGGAGGAATGTCATTGAAAACATTAGACAAAAACCATGGAGGAATGTCATTGAAAACATTAGACAAAAACCATTGAGGAATGTCATTGAAAACATTAGACAAAAACTATGGAGGAATGTCATTGAAAACATTAGACAAAAACCATGGAGGAATGTCATTGAAAACATTAGACAAAAAACCATGGAGGAATGTCATTGAAAACATTAGACAAAAACCATTGAGGAATGTCATTGAAAACATTAGACAAAAACCATGGAGGAATGTCATTGAAAACATTAGACAAAAACTATTGAGGAATGTCATTGAAAACATTAGACAAAAACCATGGAGGAATGTCATTGAAAACATTAGACAAAAACCATGGAGGAATGTCATTGAAAACATTAGACAAAAACCATGGAGGAATGTCATTGAAAACATTAGACAAAAACCATGGAGGAATGTCATTGAAAACATTAGACAAAAACCATTGAGGAATGTCATTGAAAACATTAGACAAAAACCATGGAGGAATGTCATTGAAAACATTAGACAAAAACCATGGAGGAATGTCATTGAAAACATTAGACAAAAAACCATGGAGGAATGTCATTGAAAACATTAGACAAAAACCATTGAGGAATGTCATTGAAAACATTAGACAAAAACCATGGAGGAATGTCATTGAAAACATTAGACAAAAACTATTGAGGAATGTCATTGAAAACATTAGACAAAAACCATGGAGGAATGTCATTGAAAACATTAGACAAAAACCATGGAGGAATGTCATTGAAAACATTAGACAAAAACCATGGAGGAATGTCATTGAAAACATTAGACAAAAACCATGGAGGAATGTCATTGAAAACATTAGACAAAAACCATTGAGGAATGTCATTGAAAACATTAGACAAAAAACCATGGAGGAATGTCATTGAAAACATTAGACAAAAACCATGGAGGAATGTCATTGAAAACATTAGACAAAAACCATTGAGGAATGTCATTGAAAACATTAGACAAAAACCATGGAGGAATGTCATTGAAAACATTAGACAAAAACCATGGAGGAATGTCATTGAAAACATTAGACAAAAACCATTGAGGAATGTCATTGAAAACATTAGACAAAAAACCATGGAGGAACGGCTATGAAATGCGTGTGTTTCGTGCTAGGGATGATAAGAACTGCTCACTCACGCTATAAATTTTTGTTTCCGCATTCCTCTCGACCGTACGGTAATTGCAACTGATCAATACACGAAAATCTAAACTAATCAAACAAACTGTATTTGTAGTAAAAATCTAAAACTGGCGTTATTTAATAAGTTCATCAAGCATACTTAGTTTCCATAGCAACGGGAGAACAAAGCAGTTAAGGGATTTGAATGACAAGGGCGTCTTCAGACGAGAAATAAAGGACCTGATGTACTGCCCATCAGACTGACCTCTACACGAATGTTATGAGCTGGCCAAATGGTAGCCTAAGAAGTTGATAGTAGTGAACTAGATAGCAGAGATAAGTCAACTATACAGATACAGTTAACAGATAGGGTTCCACCTTACCTCAGCGTTGGGGTTCACCTTACCTCAGTGTTGGGGTTCACCTTACCTCAGTGTTGGGGTTCCACGTTACCTCAGATTTAGGGTTCCACCTTACCTCAGTGTTGGGGTTCCACCTTACCTCAGTGTTGGGGTTCACCTTACCTCAGTGTTGGGGTTCACCTTACCTCAGTGTTGGGGTTCACCTTACCTCAGTGTTGGGGTTCACCTTACCTCAGTGTTGGGGTTCACCTTACCTCAGTGTTGGGGTTCACCTTACCTCAGTGTTGGGGTTCACCTTACCTCAGTGTTGGGGTTCACCTTACCTCAGTGTTGGGGTTCACCTTACCTCAGTGTAAGGATTCCACCTTATCTCTGTGTTGGGGTTTACCTTACCTCAGTGTTAGGGTTCACCTTACCTCAGTGTTGGGGTTCACCTTACCTCAGTGTTGGGGTTCACCTTACCTCAGTGTTGGGGTTCCACCTTACCTCAGTGTTGGGGTTCACCTTACCTCAGTGTTGGGGTTCACCTTACCTCAGTGTTGGGGTTCACCTTACCTTAGTGTTGGGTTCCACCTTACCTCAGTGTTAGGGTTCACCTTACCTCAGTGTTGGGGTTCACCTTACCTCAGTGTTGGGGTTCACCTTACCTCAGTGCTGGGGCTCACCTTACCTCAGTGTTGGGGTTCCAGACTGTGGCCCCGGGGAAGTCTCCGAACTTTGTGTCTGGCACCTGCATGCAGCAGTTGGGTCGTCTGATGGCGTTGTACACGTCAGTCCACTCGTCTGCTGGCTCGGGGTGCTGGAACCTCAGCTTGCCTGTCATCAGATGTCATCAGGTGGATGTCATGAAATGGATGTCATAAGGTGGATGTCATTACATAGATGTCATAAGGAGGAATTCATGACATATATGCCATCACGTAGATGTCATAAGGTGGATGTCATGACATATATGACATCACATAGATGTCATAATGTGGATGTCAATTCATAAGATGTCAACACAAAGATATCTTCACACATATGTCATCAGATAGATGGAAAATCTAGGAAGTAAAGATGAAGATATAAGATAGAAGTCGAAAAACGTATGTCTTCTCATAAATGTCATTTAAAACTGACGTCGAATATAATGACGCAATGTTAAACCTGTAAAGTTGCAGTGTTGGCCAAATAAGAATAGATTAATTAATTCTAAATGTTTACTTTTAAAAGTCTTAAAAAATTGATAAGACCCAAGAATGTATAGTATGCATAATTTGTTTAGAAAGTAGGCCTATATACACAGAAACTATATTAAATGACAGTTAACAATTGAGTGCTTTAAAAGAGTGAATTTAGCAACATGAATCTTTGTAGGCTAAACGCAATCTTCAAAGCTGGCATTTATACTTAGAGAATTAACTTTTTTTTTACAATAGGGTTACAATTAACGCTTTGATCAAGGGTATCTTCCATAAATTCTTTGTAAAGGAGATCTGAAAATGGAATGCAGTTGACCGTAGATATAAAAAAAAATTACCTATCGGAGGCTTGGCGTAGGGTATCCCAAGAAACATGTCCACCTTGGTGTTGTCAACATGTTCCACGCTACCTCGTACAGGTCCCTTGTCGGTGTGTATCACGTGGGTCGGGGTGCCCTGGGTCAGGGTCAGGCACCCGATGAGGAGACACCAGGGGGACAGGAGTAGAACAAACGACAGATCCATGCTTGTGGAGGGAGGGGGGATGTGGGGCTTCAGTGGTTCAAGCTAAGAGGGGGTTCCACATTGGTGAGGGGGGTCGACCTTCCCAACTGTTCACGTAGGGATCCAGTTCCACGCTGGTGTAGAGAGGGTCATTGGTTCAAATTTGTGTTCAGAAACAATTTGTTATCCAGGGCGGTGAATCTGTTTGAGCTCAGGTTGTGTTAGACCGGCTTGGGCTCGACGTTTTTAGCCCTGTCTTAGCTCACTTGTTTAGCTCAGCTAGTTGTCTTACCACACCAACTGAGCCAGCGACTGCCTAGTTTAGCTAGAGATGTCTAGTCGTCAATTCAACATCCGTGGCTAACTGAAACAACAAGAGGACACATTCGTTAGTTTTAAAAAGACATCACTGACACACGAGTTTTAAAAAGACATCACTGACACACGAGTTTTAAAAAGACATCACTGACACACGAGTTTTAAAAAGACATCACTGACACACGAGTTTTAAAAAGACATCACTGACACACGAGTTTTAAAAAGACATCACTGACACACGAGTTTTAAAAAGACATCACTGACACACGAGTTTTAAAAAGACATCACTGACACACGAGTTTTAAAAAGACATCACTGACACACGAGTTTTAAAAAGACATCACTGACACACGAGTTTTAAAAAGACATCACTGACACACGAGTTTTAAAAAGACATCACTGACACACGAGTTTTAAAAAGACATCACTGACACACGAGTTTTAAAAAGACATCACTGACACACGAGTTTTAAAAAGACATCACTGACACACGAGTTTTAAAAAGACATCACTGACACACGAGTTTTAAAAAGACATCACTGACACACGAGTTTAAATTTTTAAACTCCACATTTATCCAACGGAAGGAGGAGTACTCAATATATCATTGAAAGCCAAGGCCTACTTCAAACGTGGAAAAAGAAAAAGAAAAACAAATCTAAAGAACTTCAAACATCAAAGTGACAAGCGGTGATAGAGCTAAGCATCGGTAAAACCTTCACATCGAGAAAATCAAAAGAAAAGTACGAAACAATCGAAAAAATTGCTACAAAAATGTCATTAAATCACAACATCTCTAGCTAAATTAAGGCTACATCAATACAACTAGGATAATAAAGTAATAAAAACATATAATAATTTTAAAGGTTTACATTTTTTAATAACGGTGATACAATTAAGTTATATATTATTTTACAGCTGTAATACATTAAAGATTTACATCATTTCATTACGGTAAAACAATAAAGATTTAACTTTCTTTAGATGCCACATGCCATTTCCATTTTTTGCCATAACAAATATCCAACAAGTATGTCAAACAGTATCTAGTTTATTCAGCACGTTACCCCTACAAGAAATGTGTAGTCGTGTGTTTCTACACGTACTCTATCTCTGTTTGGTACCAGTATTGTAAGTTGGAACAGCCACTTAACAGCTGACAACTGACAAAAAAGCTCAAATAAACAGGCCTATAAAATAAACATCACAATAAACCTCACAATAAGCATCTCAATAAACTGACCAATAAACAGCCTATGTACCCGGCTCAGTACATGATAAATTTCTATTAATCTACAACAGCGTGTCTGGCTGTTGAACAGCCCTGCAACAGCTCAACAGCTGTACAACCTGTCCAAACGTCTGCCTGTTAGACCCTGCGTCCAATGTAAGCGACGATTGACGACAGCCCCGACAACAGCTCAACAGCTGTACAACCTGTCCAAACGTCTGCCTGTTAGACCCTGTGTCCGATGTAAGCGACGATTGACGACAGCCCCGACAACAGCTCAACAGCTGTACAACCTGTCCAAACGTCTGCCTGTTAGACCCTGCGTCCAATGTAAGCGACGATTGACGACAGCCCCGACAACAGCTCAACAGCTGTACAACCTGTCCAAACGTCTGCCTGTTAGACCCTGTGTCCAATGTAAGCGACGATTGACGACAAGCCTAACAACACTACACCTTCCACTTTGTTGACATATAATCATTTTCCAATCCAGTATTTGTCTCCGTGCGAGTTCCCCTCTACTTCCGCTCACTGGCACGCCACGGCACAAGATCTCCCTGAAAATTGAATCCAGTTTGCGGGAGAAATCCGAAGATAAAAATCCTCCTGTTTAATGACATAGCCACGGCTCTGTCGTATTTCTTTTAAGGCCAGTCTAGTCCCGCTCTACAAATGTCAACACTTTAAATGTCATGTGAAGTGTGGCATCTGTCAACCAGGTTTTGTTCTCACGGATTAGCCGTACAGAAATTTAAATAACAGAAGCAGCTTGTTGCAACAGTTTTATGTTTAGGGCCTTAGGTAAAGTTTGGATTCAACTTTTGTGATGGGCGGCCAAAAGTTTAAGTTCATGTTTTGTTTTTGACTAGGCTAGCGCGATGTTGTGGTCTAAAGACCCACATCCATGTTTACATCTGATCGTATGACCTTCAAACTTTTTCAAGTGCGAAGACTTTTTCTCCACCTTGACCTTTTGTAACGGTAACCTGTGACCTTCTGGGTTGCCAGGAAATTATATCTCGCGCAACTTCCGGGAATCTACCATCTTGTAAATATCGTCTGCGCATGTCCCCAGCTGACCTGGTAACATCGCCATACCGGAAATAGAACATTTAGCTCTGGTATAATTAACGAAGTGATGGGCGTTTCCTTGACTTCCAGTTGGTGGAAAAGTTGCGGTGTGCCGGGTTGTTTCTGCGTGCTGTGAATTAATTGCAACTTTCATTAGCGTCTTGGTGAGAACGTGTACATTCAGCGCTAAATTCTTCAGACTAAAAGTACTAGTTCTAGCCTTACGGTCCATGGGGCAAGTGAATTAGAGGTCCCTGTTTTTTAGTGAGCTCGGCATTTGAAGGGAAAATACTGTCAGCACTATGCCCGGCCGCCTTTACTTTCCCTAACGTGAGTTAGGTACCCATCAGTGCTGGGTGGACTCAGGGATAACTTACAGACTCGAGTTCAAATCCTTCTTAGGCAAGTCGAATTAATACTGGGTTCAAGCTTAATGGACCGCTACCTTTTACATTGTGACAACAAAAAATGACACAACAATCTCTAGAAAGGTGACAAAACACGGTCTTAATAATACACTACACTGTCTCAACAAAACAAGACACCGTCTTAATGGTTCAAGACACTTTCTCTAGTGGGGTGAGACGTATAGCTAGACCATCACGACGCAAACAACGTAAAGCGAGTCATGTCAATTTCACGCGGTCAGTTTACGTCTCAGCTGGGAGGTGTAGGTGCTGATGAGGACAGGGTCCCCGGGGGATTGCCCGGGGGAGGGGATAGGAAGGAGAAACGGGGGAAATCGTTGTTGCTTGCTTCACGGGAGTTTAGAGAGAACGCCCATTCTGTTTGACGTTTTTACTCGAAATATTCGCACTTTTCAAATAGAGAGAGACCCCTTTAACATTACTCCTGTAGGCCAATACGTATAAACTGCTAATTAAATTATTTATCAATAGATTCCAGTAAGATACACGAAAGTCTGAAAAAAAGTCTGACAAAAGTCTGACAAAAGTCTGATAAAAGTCTGATAAAAGTCTGACAAAAGTCTGACAAAAGTCTGATAAAAGTCTGACAAAAGTCTGACAAAAGTCTGACAAAATTCTTACAAAAGTCTGACAAAAGTCTGACAAAAGTCTGACAAAAGTCTGACAACAGTCTGAATTCACATGCTGACCATTGCGTAGGTCAACCTAGGAAACGATAAAATATCAAGGGGCAGATGACCGCTTCAGTACTTCAGTTACCTACCCTGTGTTTGTCAATGTAACTAAAGATAACATGCTCATATTGATTTAGTGAAACAAAACACAAACCACTCAATTTGAATCAGGCCGCATTTATTAAATAGAGGTGGGGTGCTAGGATACATGGGGGGTGGGGTGTTGGGTCGTCAGGCCACTTTGGTACACATGGGGTTGTTAAATAGGGAGTGGGGGGGGTGTAAAAATACTAGGCATATTTGTTACAATGGGGTGGGGTATTAGGATCCCAGGCGACATTTTTTGAAAGGGAGGGGGGGTGTTACGACGAAGTTGAACGATGGATGACTGAACATCATGGCTTAGTGTGAAGGAGGGTGTGGACTAGTCAGGAAATATGACTGGACCTATCCGTTCTAATTTGGACTGCACAAGACCGTATGTTCATAATGTGACGTTATTAGTAGAATCTATAACATACATTATGGCACATGCGTATCATTTAATTTAAAAAAAGATTTGAAACTTTTAAAACAGAAACTTGGTACCAACAGCGATTTGGTTAATTAGACCAGACGAGCACTAAACTTTGATTAGACTTTGGCTAATTAGACCAGATGAGCACTACACTTTGATTAGACTTTGGCTAATTAGACCAGATGAGCACTACACTTTGATTAGACTTTGGCTAATTAGACCAGACGAGCACTAAACTTTGATTAGACTTTGGCTAATTAGACCAGATGAGCACTACACTTTGATTAGACTTTGGCTAATTAGACCAGACGAGCACTACACTTTGATTAGACTTTGGCTAATTAGACCAGACAAGCACTACACTTTGATTAGACTTTGGCTAATTAGACCAGATGAGCACTACACTTTGATTAGACTTTGGCTAATTAGACCAGACGAGCACTACACTTTGATTAGACTTTGGCTAATTAGACCAGACGAGCACTACACTTTGATTAGACTTTGGCTAATTAGACCAGATGAGCACTACACTTTGATTAGACTTTGGCTAATTAGACCAGACGAGCACTACACTTTGATTAGACTTTGGCTAATTAGACCAGACGAGCACTACACTTTGATTAGACTTTGGCTAATTAGACCAGATGAGCACTACACTTTGATTAGACTTTGGCTAATTAGACCAGACGAGCACTACACTTTGATTAGACTCACGGTACCTTCTCTCAGTGACATGAAACGTATTGCACAGGCCCACTATAGTTGCTCCCCTTTACAGCGCTATTTGCACGCTTTTCAAAAAATCGTATTCCAGAAAATATCCATCACAATTGATTAAATCTTGGGACGTACGCTTTCGTTGGATGGAGGGGGGGGGGGGGGGGGGGGGTGGAGGTAGTAACAGCTCGGGGTGTGGGGGGGGGGGGGGGTGGAGGTAGTAACAGCTCGGGGTGTGGGGGGGGGGGAGGTAGTAACAGCTGGAATTGTGTCACTTCGCAATGGGCAACATCACATCAAATGGTGTGTGTGTATGTGTATGTGTTTGTGTATGTGTTTGTGTCTGTATCTGTGTGTCTGTGTGTGTGTGTGGACGTGTGTGTGTGTGTGTGTGGAC